GTTGGGAGGCAACACTATAAGCCCCTATCTTTCTCAGTGTCCGATTAAAACTCCATAACCATAAGTATTGCGTGAGTGTTAGCAATTGTAGAAGACTATATGATAGTTGAGTATGTGGAGTTTGCTAAATCAAAGCTCTGACATAGACCCTTCCTGAAAATAAGATGAATTGTAATTGTTTGATGACTAAGAATGAAGTTTGCTAGTTTCAAAAAAGTTTATGGTCTATGCTTTAACATGTGAATAGCTTGTTAGTTGATCTTGAGAAGTTTTATGAGATGAACTACTGTTATGACATATAATCATGCTAGAAAAGGTGATTGAAATTATCATTGATCAAACTTGTGCACCTGCTAGCATTCACACTTCATAAATTCTTTCTTTTATCATTTACCTACTCGAGGACGAGCAAGAATTAAGCTTGCAGATGCTGATACGTCTCCAACGTATCTATAATTTATGAAGCATTCATGCTATTTTATTATCTGTTTTGAATGATTACGGGCTTTATTATACACTTTTATATTACTTTTGGGACTAACCTATTAACTGGAGGCCCAACCCATATTGCTATTTTATTGCCTGTTTCAGTACTTCGAAGAAAAGGAATATCAAACGGAGTCCAAACGGAATGAAACCTTCGGGAGCGTGATTTTTGGAAAGGATATGATCCGGGAGACTTGGAGTTCAAGCCAGGGAAGGCTCGAGGAAGCCAGGAGATAGGAGGGCGTGCCCACCCCCTGGGCGCGCCCCTTGTCTCCTGGGCCCCTCGAGGCTCTCCGACCGACTTCTTTCGCCTATATATTCCCATATACCCTAAAACCATCGAAGACGAAGATAGATTGGGAGTTCCGCCGCCGCAAGCCTCTGTAGCCACCAAAAACCTCGCGGGAGCCCGTTCCGGCACCCTGCCGGAGGGGGGATCCCTCACCGGTGGCCATCTTCATCATCCCGACACTCTCCATGACGAGGAAGGGGTAGTTCACCCTCGGGGCTGAGGGTATGTACCAGTATCTATGTGTTTGATCTCTCTCTCTCTCTCTCGTGTTCTCTCTATGGCACGATCTTGATGTATCATGAGCTTTGCTATTATAGTTGGATCTTATGATGTTTCTCCCCCTCTACTCTCTTGTGATGAATTGAGTTTTCCTCTTGAAGTTATCTTATCGGATTGAGTCTTTAAGGATTTGAGAACACTTGATGTATGTCTTGCCATGCTTATCTGTGGTGACAATGGGATATTCACGTGATCCACTTGATGTATGTTTTGGTGATCAACTTGCGGGTTCCACCCATGAACCTATGCATAGGGGTTGGCACACGTTTTCATCTTGACTCTCCGGTAGAAACTGTGGGGCACTCTTTGAAGTACTTTGTGTTGGTTGAATAGATGAATATGAGATTGTCTGATGCATATCGTATAATCATGCCCACGGATACTTGAGGTGACAATGGAGTATCTAGGTGACATTAGGGTTTTGGTTGATTTGTGTCTTAAGGTGTTATTCTAGTATGAACTCTATGATAGATTGAACGGAAAGAATAGCTTCATGTTATTTTACTACGGACTCTTGAACAGATAGAACAGAAAGGATAACTTTGAGGTGGTTTCGTACCCTACCATAATCTCTTCATTTGTTCTCCGCTATTAGTGGCTTTGGAGTGACTCTTTGTTGCATGTTGAGGTATTGTTATATGATCTATCTATGTTATTATTGTTGAGAGAACTTGCACTAGTGAAAGTATGAACCTTATGCCTTGTTTCCTACCATTGCAATACCGTTTACGCTCACTTTTACCATTAATTACCTTGCTGTTTTTATTATTTCAGATCACAAATACCTATATCTACCATCCATATTGCACTTGTATCACCATCTCTTTGCCGAACTAGTGCACCTATACAATTTACCATTGTATTGGATGTGTTGGGGACACAAGAGACTCTTTGTTATTTAGTTGCAGGGTTGTTTGAGAGAGACCATCTTCATCCTACGCCTCCCACGGATTGATAAACCTTAGGTCATCCACTTGAGGGAAATTTGCTACTGTCCTACAAACATGTGCACTTGCAGACCCAACAACGTCTACAAGAATAAGGTTGCGTAGTAGACATCAATGACTAGTTTGATTTTGGCAGTGCGGAGTGGCTCCTTCTGTTCATATTAGTCATGGCTCATGAGGATGGGAGACATTGGGAAGAAAATAACCAGCGGGAACCAGCCTGAAGAGGCGTCCTGCTTTTCACCAGCGTCATCTTTCATTGATGCGGCAAAGGCCAATCAGTTTGTGGCAAGAGTTGTGATGATAATTTTGTTATAGTTATCCATGACGTTGAGATGTGAGGTCCTACCTTTTGCAGGGTTTATCAATATAGCAATCAAGGATTTGATCGATCTTCCCTTGCTAGGACTGCACATCGTATGGTTGATGTAGAATTTATGATCATTTCTGGTTCTACCTATACAGTTTTTCAAAATATGTGATACATTGGAATCTCTGTATGAGAAATATAGGGCAAAGTAAAGAGCCTTTGGTACTTTGTGATGGCAAATTTATACAACAAATCACAAGAAATGGTTGAATCAAATAGGGTCAAATGATAATGTTGAACACAGTCATACAATTTTTGTAGAATTTTTACAAGTTACGATTCTACCAAGTAAAGACTCCACCTAGGATATAATTTTGAGAGGCTCCATACAATGTTGAACACGATCCAGTTAATGATAGGGTTGTATGGACTAGATTGAGATTCTGATAAAAATTGGTCTTCTGGCCAGTGACCACGAATTTTATCTTATTACTGACCATATATGGTACACAGATTTATTAGTCAATTTGTTGAAAGTGGCCACCAATGACCTCTTGGATACCAAGAGTACGAATTACTATCAGGACAAACTAAACACTTTTAGCCTTCCGCAAAAGGGGAAAGACATTTATAACTGCAACAATTATCGTTCTGATCTTATACAAACTTCCAAACACAAAGTCGAGGAAAAACAAAAGGATGTAGATGGCTAGAGAATGCATTTCAAGTCTAGTGTTCCATGTTTTTTGCATTTGAAAATTGGTTTGTGCATAAGGATGGGAGGCATAATAATGCACGTGCAAGTATTGAGACGACAGAGAACACAAGACTTCGGACAACAAGTTTGTTTGTTTGGTGCCTAAATTTGCCACACTTTTCGTGCCAAATGTGTCAGCAAGTCATATTAGTCACACCTGTGGCAAGACTTGGCAAGAAATCTTATGTATGATAAGCAGGGTAGTGTGCTAAGAAATTATGGCACACCACAAGTGAGCCAAAGAAGCAAACATTACACCACGAGAGTGCAACATACCTAACACGGGTGGGTGGAAGGAATTCTGCAAGTTAAAATCTGGTTCAAATGTGGTCCAACAGATAATATTTGTGATTAAAAATAAATATATGTCTAGCAGTTTCCTAGCAAGAGATCCAATGTTAAAAAAATTATAGCAATCAACAACATTGCGATGTGAGGTCATACTTGTGCATTGTTCATATGAGCATCTGAAATAACAAGTCACAAACATGGCAATTGGTGAAGTCCACCTCAAAAAGGAAAACCACATCTGGTATCATCTATGGTTTAAGCATGCAGCAACTAACATGATTAGGGGTTTAAATATCTGGGGTAGGCTTGTCTCTAGGCCTTAGTATGAGCATAGCTTCCGGAGACGCCTTTTCACACGTTGCCAACTCCTTACATGCTTCCACGTAAGCTTTGGTTTCTTCTCCATGGTTGAAACTGACAAAAAAGTATTCAAGCAGCCCTGCTTTTGATAGCAGAAACTTCATAAACCACGTGTCATTTGGCAAGTACTTCGGGCGATCCACCGAGACATGTTTGAGATTAGCAAACATGTCATCATATATCACTGCATCAAGAATATCTTGATCGATGGCATCATCATTGCCAGTTTCAACTTCCGGCCTGATTACCTACAGAATGAAGTCCAAAATTGCAGTGTCAATTAAACAACTTAATCCATTAATGGTTGTCTGTTAACTGAGACATACAAGTTCCAGGGTGCATCCTTATATTACCTGAATTTTGAGTTTTTCAATGTGAGGACCAAATCTCAGTGAAGAAAATATCGACATAATGCTTGGGAATTTGCCAAAATTTGCAGTCAGTTGTACAGCCCTCAAGTTCTGGAACGTCCATAAAATCCTTTCCAGCGGATTTTCCTGAGTCTGGAAAACATAGAACACGGTTAGACTAGCATATATAACTCTAGTGCAAGTTTACATCGGGATTATATATAACTCTAATCAGCTAAGAGTGACTTTGTTAGCAATGTTTTTTTGGAATCGAAGAGGGAAACTGTTAGCAATGTCTGTTCGCCGCATCTAGAGTGGATTTCATGAATGAATTCACATTGTAAAAACTGCACGGTGCCATACAAAAAATGAGAAAGGTGAACAGATGATTGCCTATACAGTATCCACGCACCACAAGATTACCATTATGGCTTAAAAAATTAAATAGTTACTTCCAAGCTCTTAACATTACTATTTATACAAGATGACTGTTGAATACTTCATGTAGTAACGCAATGCTCTTAATAGGAGTTAATTGCAAGAAACCACAACATTTGGGACTTCGTTTGCGGAAAAATACCTAGTCCCTAATTATTTGCAAAAGTCACAATGTATCTAGTAAACTTTTTGCAAATTGCGCTGATGAGGTGATTTAGCATGATTGATCACTTTCTGACAAGTGGGACCGGATTGTAAGGAGATGATTTGGTAAAAAATTGACATACACCTCGCTGGATTTCACAAAGACACCCTTATTAAAAAAATGAAAAAGCAATCAGCCCCCCTCCCACCCCCGTCACCTGCCTTCTCCGAGGTGGTGGCTGGCCACCGTAGGACGGCCTCCCTCCTCCCTAGCCTTGCTCGCGGGGCGGGACAGCCTCCCTCTTCCCTGGCCGGCGGCTCGCCCTAGCCACAAGCTCACGGCCCCGACACAAAGTGGCTTCCAATCCTGCGCGTTTACCCGACCCTGCCGTTGTGCTGCCGGAGCTCCGCTGCCCGACGAGTGCTCCGTCCCGCGTGTTGCTGCTTGGCACCGCAACTCCCTGCCGGTGTGGCTGCTACTGCTCGCCGCCGTAGGTCCTCGTCGTTGCGGCTGCCACGGGCACGCCACGCTCAACTGCTTGCTCCTGCCCATCTCCTCCCTGCTCCACCTCCTCTTCGTCTCCGTGTCCGCCCTGCCGGGGCTCACGCTCCCCGCCACGGCATCCAGACGGTCGGTAGGGTCAGGGCGCCACCGTGTCGGCCGAGCTCGCGCTACTTCGGCAGTAGCGCTGCTCCACGGGGGGAGGGGTTTATTGCTTTTCTTTTTTAGATATAGGGGTGTATGTGTTAATTGTTTGCTGAGTCAGCTCCTTACAACCGGGTCCCACTTATCGGAAAGTGATCAAACAGGCAAAATCGTCCAATCAGTGTTTTCTGCAAAATGTTTACCAGAAACGTGGTGGCTTTTGTAAAAAAAATTAGATACCATGTAGGTTTTCATAAACAAAGCCCCAAATGTGATGGTTTTCTGCTTTTAACTCCTATTAATAGGAAAAAAAATCATGTTTGAATCCTTCTAGCAGGAAGGGATGACGTTTCCCACAATCGAGTCAATACTAATGGTTAAGATGATCTTCCCTTAGGTTTGGGCAACATGGTGATCATGAGCAGGCTCGACCCCACTCATGGAAGTATATAGTCTGTAGACTATTCTGATGGTCTAAAGAAGGGACACAAAACACTAGATTTTGAACCCGGGAACAGAGCGACTCTAGCACAGTCGTCAAAAGGGTCATGGAATGCACTCCGACTCCATCATACTCTCTTTGTTCGGAAATACTTGTCGAAGAAATAGATGTATCTAGACGTTTAGTTCTAGATACATTCATTTTTATCCATTTATGTGACAAGTAATTCTAGATGGAGGGAGCATTTTGGAGGCTCCTAGGGCTATGTGCAAAGCCAGATTCACCAAACACAATCTTCATAGTAGTATTTGCTTTACACATGAGACCGACCTATTGTTGGCTTACTATTTCTTTGAGGAGATCGCCGTGCAGAGGACCTCTGCAACACCCAACACCGAGGATCTCAAATGTCACGCCTTCGCCTTATGTCGACGGACAATGAGTCGTCTGAAGATCCAAGCGAGGACCAGCTCAAACATCTCCCTCTGTTCTCTGAGCCACTCACCAACCCCCTGTCGTATCTCGATGAACTATCAATCCTAGATCTGGGCTATGATGCGAAGAGGGGTCAGTGCAGGGTCGGCGGTTAGGGCTCTGGCACAAGGGGGAGGTGGAGGGGAAGGGGAAGGGAGGTGGAAGATGAGCTGCAGGCGAGCTAAAACTTCCTTCATACCATGGGTTTCCTAGATGGAGTGCGCTCCAAAGTGACCTTCAAGGCAACAAATATGCAGTCTGAGAGGCAAGATACGGAGAGCTCTTCAAAAATTGTGATGGCATGGCACTGGATGGCGACTCTACTAGAGTTTTTTTTTAGGGAAAAAGCAAAGCTTTTATAACTTAACGGTGCTTAGGCAAATCGCCCATCGCACAGGCAGCCACATTAGCTGGAACATCGGACTCCCACAATACACTGTGGTTTGGTTCACACGCACGACCCATATTAGCAAGTTTGTGTGCAACATTATTGGCACTGCGCCTACAAAAAGAAATAACCTGACTCTACTAGAGTTGCTCTCAGCAATATCAGTGCTTTGACCAATTAAATAGTGATGGACATTTCCTCAAAAAGAAAAAGGAAATAATGGACATAGTTTAGAGATTGCCATCAATGCATGTCGCCTCAAATTACAAAAAATTAGAATTCATCTATTTATTTCATGGAATTTGACACAATGTAGTTCTGTACCTGATCTGAGTCGGTGAGCAAGTAAAGCTTCTTAACACTAGAAATCCGTCGGAAAGTGTTGATGAAGTTTGGGGTCCCGAATAGGGAATCAATGGAAATTTGTGCCACCTTCAGCAATGGAAGCTCCCCCGCAATTCGGCATCCATTGTCAATGGACATGATCAACCTGAGGAAACGGAGGTTGGGCGCCTGGATGGCACATGTTTCGATATCAGCCTCCTCATCGCCGATCATGACATCATCCAACAAGAGCCTCGTGAGGTGCGGTGCTGAGGAGATTATGAGTTGGAGTTGCGCCGCGGCGCCATGGAAAGGGAGGACCACATACTCGAGGCAGAGGGTGAAGAGGTTGGAGAAGCCTGTGAAGTCCTGAGGAGCGCGCAACAAGTGGCAATAGCCACAGAGCTGGAGGTGGGTGAGTGCGCTGCAGGAGTACAGGGCCGGGCCGACCACGGGCGGGTTGGGCGAGTAGGCGGGCCAGGGCTTGTCGAACTTGAGCTTGAGCATCTTGACGCGCTTGTGCGCCAAGGCGAGGAGCCAGCGGGCAGGGCGGTGGGAGTGGCGCCTTTGGACATGGGCGGTGAAGCTGCGGATGGGCGCGGCGCACCGCCACAGGCTGCGGGCAGTGAATCTGTGGACGGGCGTGGCGCACGGCCACCGCAGGAAGCGTGGATCGCGTGCGGTGGAGGATCCTCGACTGAACCAGATGTCGAGGCCAGGGACGGATTCCCATCGACGGTGCCAAGCAGGGGAGAGACAGCAGGTGCCGACCAACTTCTCGAAGGGGAGCCGACGGAGGATGTCGTCGAGCATCTCAGGCGGAAGGGACATCAGGTAGTCCGGGCCGGCCATCGGCGCCTCCTCCCCCTGCCGTTGACTCGAGGAGGAACCCACACCCCCCATCCTCTCCATTGGGGATTTGTGGACTGGTGTGGTGGGAGTGAGGGGTGCCCCAGCCGCGTGCGTTTTTAATGCGTGTTGCCGCACACGTACATTTTTACAATTAATGATGGTATTTCTACAAATATATATTGAGACCTTGAGACATGAAAGCTAATTGTATCCATATCAAAAGGATATGTTGCTTATTATTAAGCTTGGTTGTTTCTCATTGTCAACAACACCAGATACGGTAGTAATAGTGTTCAGAAAGGTAAAGAAAAGACTTATAAAGCCTGCATTTGTGGGATAAATCCATCTATCCGCCAACGATCATAATAATGCCTCTCAAGGAGAAAAATGATTCCTTTTCTGCAATAGCACACACAATTTCCGGGAAAGAGATCAATGCAAGTTTAGAGACAAAACTATGCAGCATAAATAAGATGAATAATTGCCCCGGTTTATTACCTTTTTTACCGACTTCGCAATGCTACGTCCCTTGCCAGTTGTGGTGGGACCATGTTGCTCCCTTGTCTTCTCGCCCATACCTCTTCCATAGTCTTCCTCAACAACGGTGGCAGTGGCACACCTATGGTTTGCCGTAGGCCGCTAGGGCAAGGGGGTGGCGAGGGGAAGTTGAAATAGCTGATGACGAAAACATTGCATATTTTGATCTTCAAAGTGGATACAAAGGAGTGTGCATGTAGTAAATTTTACTAAGTAATTTTATAGTTACAAATTGTAATACTCCCTTCATTCCCAAATACAAGTCTTTTTAGAGTTTCCAACAAGTGACTACATGCGGAACAAAATGAGTGAATCTACATTCTAAAATATGTCTACATACATCCGTATGTTGTTGTCCATTTGAAATGTCTAAAAAGACTTATCCTCCCTCCGTCCGAAAATATAGATGACATAACCTCATCACCACCATCGAAACGCCATCAGGGCAATAGCAAAGTCAAGAGAGGGCATGCTGCACCCATGGGCGTTGTTGCAAAGCCATGGGCGGGTTGATTCCGCAACAAAGAGGCGAGGCATGTTTTTGCAATTACACACAGAATTAATTAAATAAATAAATAGATAAATAACCGCATTGGCGGGTACAAGCGACGCATAATCAAGGCAACATTATGGGGGTCACAACATTCTCACCATTTCATTGTTGAAATATTGTCCCATCTTGTAACAAATATTCACAGTTGTCCGGCAACAAGGGCAAAATACAACATCATGAGCCTTTGCGGTTATGAAACCACAGCTCAACTTAGAAAAGGTAAAACAAAGCGGCGAGTACGTGATGATCGCTCTATACAACGCGTAAACAACAAGGCGGTTGATTTGTTTTTGCAAAACAAGAACCATGTTACTTTTTACCAACATTTGAGATGGACAAGACCTGGCTAACAGCCCTGCTCATCGTTTTCGATTTCAGGGGCAGAAGCCGCTTATTGCTACTTGAGCTTGCATTGGGTCCATCCAATCTTTTCCGGTACTCTTTCTCGAGCTCCTCGAGACTACTGTTCACCTGCAAGTAAAGATCAAGTGTACCTCGATTATCAGTATCAATCTTGGGACTGCAAATTTCAAGTCTCCGATCATAAGCAAACGCACAAACATACTACTCCTTCTACCATGTGTGATACAGCAGCCACAAACCACCAAACAATAGAAATAGGATAAATAATATCCCACAAGCAAGAACTCACAAAACCATGGACATACTAATATTGCCATCTCATTTGCTTCATAAAACAGTTTATTACCTTAAATGAGAAGGCAAGTGGAAATAATGTATCAGGATCAGTTGCCTCATCTGGAAAATATCTCAAGGAATGCAGAAGTTCCTCAAAAGGCAATTTGACCTGACAGAAAGGTAACTTCAGCGATTCTTTAAAATATGTCTTTCAAGCAGAAGCAGCACAGCACACCAAGAAACTTACCAGGTCATCATGGCAGAATCTCAATAGACCCAATCCAACTTGGAAAACAACCTTAATACCCTGTAAGTAGGATCGAGTCAATGATCAGCAAAAGCAAGTAAATCAGATACAGTCAGTTGGTTTAATACGTGGATATACAAAATAGGTATAAGAATAGTCATATGAAAAAACCATGCGCATTCATGTAAAAATAATAATAGGACACAAAAGGAGTATAATAGAAATGGCAACAAAATCTCACGTCTTACTAGGAAACTATTTGAGTAGGACCTCACAACCATGTGTTAGCTACATTCAACTGTTTGCAACATATAAATACTCTGCAATATTACATACATATTCCCTAGAAATAGAATGCTTCTCTATGGCTGTTCAAAAATTGATTCTGTCTGGTTCCTAAATTCACACTGCACTCCATCTGAAAATTAACATTTAAGGTGCATACAGTCACTGAAAGGAACCAAAGCCCCAAAAGAACTCCAATATTGATACTATTTATCTATACATGTACATCATACTCCACAATTGCTGCATGTTATATTTGGCGAAACTAGAAGTAATAATGGCTATAGAGGTCCAGATATAAGGAGCGATTGTATAGAGTATACCACTACATATACTGCCCTTAATAAAGTTCTTCTGAAAAAAGTCCTAAAAAGAGTAATGCTGATGTAAAACTTGTAACCATACCGTATATGAAGCAAACATGTTTGAAAACTCGGTAAAACACAACTCAAAACTCATAAGCTCAGGTAAACACGAAACATAAAACACAGGATGGACAAGATTCTTACCTCATACAGGAAGACATCCCAAACTCTAAGAGTCATATGGAATGGGAAGGAATACGAGAAAACTGTGATAAACCATTGGCTTGCATACATGCTTGGATTTATCATTTCTTCAATAAAATGCTGTCCCAACTTTGGCATGTGCTCTTGAACTAATTTCTCGAATTGAAACAGATATTGTTGCACAAGCGGCAAACCGGCCTGTTGTAGGAATGTAAAGAGTAAGATTTGTTAATTAATAATTCAGAATATGCAGATTTTTTCTAGAAAATGTCACTTCAGTGTTGCATGTATTCCAAAGCTAAGTGCTCAAACTAAAGATAACTGCTGCTGAACAAGTGGAAAATTCCGGTTTAATAGTTATAATATCAAACTGAGAAAAACAAATTATAGTAGAAGCTGATGATAAGCATGACGCAAACACTCTGGAATTTATTGAACCAAAAATCTGAAAGAAAAAGCTCTCATTCATCACTCTGAAGTTCAGGTTTCTAATGGTGATTTGAGTTGTTTGCTCATTGGAAAGTAAAAATCGCCAAAGAAGTTCAATCACGGAATCACCTGATACAAGCCTTCCATTGGAGCATGGACAGCTCCTTTTAGCAAAGCTACTATTAACCAAAATGCATCCTCCTCGCTCATATAAAGAAGCAGCAACCCAGCTATAAATCCCATTCCCTGCAAGACCGCGCAAAAGTAATAGCATGTTAATCCAGGGAATATGTTCAACCCTATATAATACGTTGACAGGCTGAAAACGAACCTGCACATATCCAACATCCCTATCATAAACAGAGTATGCTTTTAAAACATTATACAGAGATCTTTGACCTGGGCCATGTCTCTGTTGGAAGAAAATATGCGAAGGAAATGTACGCGATATATCACGAATAATTTCCAATTCTGATGTTGATGTCTCGTATATGACCAAAGTCTGTCCAAAGAAAATATAGGTTATATAAAAACAATCAGTCAAGCCTGGAATAAGTGCAATAGAGGCACGTGCGCAAAGTGCAGCAAATTATGAGAATGTGTATGATCTACGGTGAGTAATTTCCTTATAAAATACGTAACCTACAGAGCTTAACTATCCTGTTTTCCTCCAACACATGTAAATTATATGAAAGCAGCACAATATATAAGGTACGGCAAAGGATTCTATGATGCTCCCCTTCTGATCACTACTAGATTAATAAGAATAAATATTTTTGTTATCAGTCATCACTATAAGAGAACCCCAACAAGGCCACAGAAATGCCTAATAATTCAAACACAAGGATGGTTATGAGTACCTCATAAACCCCAGGATTCATTAGCAAGAGGTCCCTGCTGCCTGAAATCAACTGCCAAACAAGTCCTCTGAGACAATCAGGAATTCCTTTCCTTATTCTTCTCTTAACCACATGAGGATTCCTTCTAACATAATGCTTCCAGTCACTACCACCAGTACCTATCATCTTCCTCCACTTTCTTATCCTCCTTTCCTCCCTACAATAAACCAAATTTTTAGCCCGCGAAACAAATTGCTTAGAGAAAAGAAGATTTAGATAAGCAAACTAGGATGGCACGTGTGACAACATGGTGCCAGAGTAACATAGTCATAAACAAGATACTCCCTCCGTTCCAAAATACTTGTCGTGGTTTTAGTTCAAATTGACTAAAACCAACCATGACAAGTATTTTGGAACAAAGGGAGTAGTAAATACCAAGTATACTTTATCGTCCAAGCAAGTCAAATATATGACAACCATTTCCACAAGATTTGCTTAAAAGGCCCATGCATAAGCATAAAAAGGTAATTAATCGAGGAGATTCACTGGCTCCAACTTATCAAATAGATGAGCATATGGGGACTGTAAGTACAACTGAAGACCCCTGATCATACCTTCCGCGTTCATGTGTGGGTCTGCTTTTCAGAATCCCCTCTGGAGAGTTGCTTTGTTCCGTCTTTATAAAGCCAAATCTGTCGACAGGCCGAGAAGGAGCCGGTCCAGGTTCTATGTCATCGACATCTTTCTTCTTATCCATCTTATTGATTACTCGAGGATACCTTCACTACATTGCAAGAAATACACCATGTCACTAATTTTCACAACGAGAATATCAAATGCTCGGCTAAACAATAGATGTATGAAGGCTATTGAGCCATCCTACTAACACAGTCTGAACAAAAATCAAGCTATGCTAGCAACCAATAGTTTAAGCGCAAGCAATATCTGCCCGCCGGGTGGGCGTTGGGCATGGACGGGGTCAGTTGAACCCTGAGAAACTTGAGAACGAACTTGCTGACATTAACGGGTAGTATTAAATACAATGCGCATCCTATGAATGGAAAATGGGGTCAACCGAGATCAAACAAACGAACAAACGAACGAACAAAGGATTGCATTAGCAGATACCACATCCATCCGCCACCTTATTGCTCACGAATATAGAATGCTGCAAACGAATCTGTCCAAGCGGGCCAGGGGAATTCCTTACCGTGGGTGGTGGGTGGATCGTGGGCGAGAGCCCTCGTCGGCGACGGGCGGGGGGGAGGCCGGATTCGCGCAGATCACGCGAATCTGGAATCGGGCGACGGCAATGACCCCTGCGCCGGTGGCGCTGCCGGCCGTCCTTGCCCGGTCGCCGGGGCCGGCCGGCGGGGAATCAGGGCGAGGGCGAGGGCGAAGCCGGGACCGGGAGCGTGGCAGCGTGTCCGGGGGAAGGGGTGCGCGGTGGTGGACGGCACGGCACGGGGACGGGGGCAGCTGTGGAGGGGGGAGCCGGCGCCGAGGAGGAGGAGGAAGAAGAGGCAGCAGATTAGATTAGCGCGTTATTCGGGTCAAGATCTGATTGCATCCGACGCGCACGGTTTGGCTGGGTCGCACGAACCACCCGTCGCCTGCGCGCTCACAAAAGGAAAAACAACGATTTTTTTCGATTTCCAGGGCGTGCAGGCCGCACATGCACGCACGCACGAGCCTACCCATGGGAAAGAAACGATGACGCGTACACAAGGGTTAGGCATAGCGAGGGCCATGTTTTTCAAGGGGGATTCAATCAACAAGTTAAAATGGTTAGGTTTGAAACTTAACATGATACTAGTTGATAGTATGAGCATCCTCTTTATTTAACTTATTACAATCGGCGTTTTCGTGACACAATGTTTCTCGGGCAGATTGGGCTATTAAGTCTGGATCGGCCTCGCGGAGAAGTCTAGCTTCGCCAACCCTAATACTCTTGGATGTGAGAACCAAAGCTATGCGAAGACGGGTAGTAGCATTCTAGGATAAGGACGGGATGCATCCCGGTATAAAAGTGTATCGGCCTGTTCGGATTAGTGATGAGTTGATGACACATGCAAGTGTTCGGACGGTAGACGCTGGATATGATATGATGCGCTGGGACTTCGGCTCGACAAAGGAACCCTACGTACATACCCCAGCTCTTCTTGGTTCACGAATTTTTCATTTTCGAAGATTAGTAAAGTAGGAAGATGGAATAGCATCTTTGAGTGAGTTAGGCATAGTGAGGGCGGTGTTTTCTTTCCATTGATGTTCTGGAATTGATGTTGCACCCTTTCGTCTCCTCAGTAGAGCTGGACATGTTGCCCATTTTAGGAGATCTTTTTACGAAATTGCAGTTGAGTTGATGAGCGCACCATAAGTAGACTCATTCCCGAGGAGGTCGTGATTATAAAATGACACCCTTTATACATTAAATATTTTCTTGTTTTCTGTCCTTCTCAAATCATGACATCTTTATTGACTCTAATCAATGTGTAACATTGTACCACCTACTCTTTTCAATCTCCCACCTACCTCTCCCCTTCTTAATTCTTTCCGTCCCCATAATATAAACTTGAAAGTGTGAAACGAAATAAAACGGGTAGAAACGGCCAAAGGTAAGGATGAGTGAAAAATACTACTAGCGTTGGAGTGTTCATTGTTTCTTCACATTTTCACTTTCCCGATTTCTATGTCCATGGGCATGGGAGGCATCCAGGAAAAAGTAATACAGCACAACCCTCAGACACCTCGACCATAGTCAGCCGCTCGAGGGAAGCACAAAGGAAGTCGTGCAGGAGGCTCTTGATAGACGAACAGAAAAGCCATGGCGGGCTGGGGGAGGGTCAGCCAAAGGGTGCAGATGGACCGGTCAGGGGGAAAGGGCCCAGGGATGAAGGCGATGTAAGATAGGAAATGGAGAGGATGTGGTTTTGAATAGGTTACCTGGTCGGGGGACGACGACAATCGTGTCCTTGCCAACATCCATGCAGACCAGAGAAGCTTCAAGGTCGCCACCAAGGGGCAGAGTAGTGAACGGGGTCAGGTGGTGGAGGTCAGCGCGGTGCTGGACCTCTGGCGGCTGGTGGGATCTGTGTAGGGGAGGCTAGAGCAGCAGTGAGAGAGGCAGGTCTCCGTTGTCGCCACGAGAGTCATGAAGTTCATGCTCTCGGGATACATGGAAATGTTGCCTTCTTTTCTCTAGTGACTTTTTCAATTGGTGTGCATAAGCATGGGAGTCACCAAGACACACATATCCGCATGTTCAGAATGGTGATACATGCTACTGTCCAAGCTGCAAACATTGTGAGACAATTGGACTTCAACTTGGCAAAGATGCCCGAGAAATAGTTCAAAGGTTAGAGAGGCACAAACATGGGTTTTGACATCTTAGAATTTAGGTCCTTTCATCTTTGTAGATGACACTAACAATACTTTATTATTGATGAGTACATGAGCATGAAGTAACATTCTTTCTACCAAATACATGTGGACTTTTTTACCAGTATTTCAACTATATGAAGGGTTAGGCATAGTGAGAGCGCAGTTATTGAAAGGGATTAGCAAGTTAAAAGGGTTAGCTTTAAAATTAATACGACAATTGATAGTACGTGCATCTTCTTAATTTACAATTGACATCACCGTGACACGACATTTCTTGAGTGGATTGGGCTATTAAGTCCAGATTGGCTACATGGACAAGTCTAACTTAATCGGACATAATATTTTGTTAGAACTAAATCTACATGGAAATCGTTCGAGTACTGAACGCAATTTGCATTTCTAAACTATTGTGTGCATAAGGATGGGATGCATCCGGATATAAAAAAATATCGATCTGTTCAGATTAGGATGAGTTGATGACACATGCAAGTGTTCATACTGCGGATGGAATAACATCTTTGAGTGAGTGTCACGAGGTGTTTTCTTTCTATTGACGTTCTGGAGTTGATGTTGCACTCTTTCATCTTCTCTGTAATGCTTGATATGTCGTCCATTTTAGAAGATCTTTTATGAAAATGCAATTGCGCACCATAAGTAGACTCATTAGCGAGGAGGATGTGATTATAAAATGACACCCTTTACACATTAAATATTTTCTTGTTTCCCGTCCTTCTCGAATCATGACATTTTCACTGACTTCGATCAATACACATTGTACCGCCTACTTTTCTCAATCTACCACCTACCTCTCCCCCTTCTTAATTCTTTCTGTCCCCATTATATAAACTTGAAAGTGTGAAACAAAAGAAAAGGGGTAGAAAGGGCCAAAGGCAAGGATGAGTGAAAAATACTACTAGCGTTGGAGTGTCCATTGTTTCTTCACATTTTCACTTTCCCGATTTCTATGTCCATAAGCATGGGAGGCATAGGGAAAAAGCAACGCAACACAACCCTCGGACACCTTGACCATAGTTAGCCACTCAAGGGGAGCACAAAGGAAGTAGTGCAGAAAGCTCTCCATAGACGAACGGGGAAGCCCTGGAGAGCAGGGGGAGGGTCACCTAAAGGGTACAAATGGGCTGATGAAGGCGATTAGAGATTGGAAATGGAGAGGATGTGGTTTTGGAATAGGATACCTGGACAGGGGACGACGATAATCGTGTCCTTGCCAGCATCCATGCAGACTAGAGAAGCTTCAGGATCGCCACCAGGGAGCAGAGAAGTGAACGGGGTCAGGTGGTGGAGGTCATGGGGGTGCTGGATCTCTAGCGGCTGGTGGGATCTGGGTAGGGGAGGCTGGAGTGAAAGTGAAAGCGATAGGTCTCAGTCGTCGCCACAAGAGTCGTGAACCTCAAGCTCTTAGGATACACAGAAGTGTAGCCTCCTTTTCTCCAGTGACTTTTTCAATTGGTGTGCATAAGGACGGTAGTCACCAAGACACACATGTCCGCATGTTCAGAATGGACAAGACTTGCCTGCTCCCCGCGCGTGTGCCCATCCGTGCTCCCGCGTATGTGGCTTGATTTGATTGGAACAAAATAAGGCCTGGCCCCGCCCCCTTAAAATCAAGGGGGGAGATGATTAGATTAAAAAGGAAAAAGGAAAAAAGACATGCGTAGGATGAAGTGGGAGCATGGGGATGGAGCAGGCAAGCCGGATCCGTTCAGAATGGTGATACATGCTATTGTTCAAGTTGGAAACATTGTGAGACAATTGGACTTCAGCTTGACAAAGGAGCCCTAGAAATAATTCAAAGGTTGGAGAAGCACAAACATGGATTTTGACACCTTAGAATTTGGATACTTTCATCTTTGTAGATGACACTAACAATATTTTATTTTTGATGAGTACATGAGCATGAAGTAACATTCTTTCTACCAATTACACATGGATTTTTTTACCGGGATATCAACTATGAAGGGTTAGGCATAATGAGCGCGCAGTTATTGAAGGGGATTAGCAAGTCAAAAGGGTTAGTTTTAAAATTAATACGACAATTGATAGTCTATGCATCTTCATAATTTACAATTGACATCGTCGTGACACAATGTTTCTCGAGCGGATTGGGTTATTAAGTCCAGATTGGCTACATGGAGAAGTCTAACTTCACCGGACCTAATATTTGACTAAATCTATGTGGAAATTGTTCGAGTACTCAACACAATTTGCATTTCTAAACTATCATGTGCATAAGGATGGGATGCATCCGGACATAAGAATATATCGGTTTAGGATGAGTTGATGACACATGCAAGTGTTCATACTTTAGATGCTATATATGATACACTTAGACTTCATCGAGACCCTACATACCCA